TGTATGTCTTTTCTGGCAACTCATTTTTTCTGGGAGCATTTTCCTTATTATACCTAGCAACTGATCGAAGCCTTTATCGCTCAATCCGTTTGTCGATTTGAACTCTAACAGCATGATGTCGGCTTCTAGTTTGCTCATTTGACAATTCTTATACAATGGTATTTTGCCATCTTGTCTCATTTTCTCTAGCTCTTTCAAATTGTCTTTCACTAAGACATCCGCCTCTATATTACATGAGCAAAATGAGAAATGCCATCGTTATTATCCTCGGTGTCGTCACTAGCGTATTTCTAAACACATTATTAATCGTGGCCATAGGTTCCGTGTTGACACCAGGGTTCCTCATCAACATCGTGGATGGCTACGTCCGCATGTCCACATCATCATCGTTTTCCTATGGAACATTCGGACCAACCTCACCATGCATAGTCCATATCGTATAGTTTGGCATGAACCCCCGGTAATCAAGTGCGATCATATAGACTCAATTTGACAAAAGTTCCTTTGATTCTTGCAATCTTTGCATGAGCGTAAGACATGGTTCTCATTCCTAGCATGAGCTTTGGCATCGGTGATAAATCGGTCGACGCCATGCATGTACCTCTTGTCTGCATTAGGGACGATGATGCATCCACTCTCGATTCATCTCTCGTATAAAAAAAATATTGAGACAAGAATTACAAAGAATTAATAAGAAATTGAGCTTCATAAACAACAATTGTATCTCGAAAGTATCATTTTTGGAAAAGATTATTGTACACTAATTATTAAAAAATTAAAATTGGTAGCCCCGGCCCTATAAATTGAAAATCGTAGTAAAAAACAATTATTGCACAATAATGAAGAACAACTATTCTACTCCATGCCACATAAAAATGGAGACACTTATTTTAAAAAAGACTAAAATTAGAGACATGTTATGAACAACAATGTAGCTCCAAACAATGCCTATATAAATTAAAAAATGTAGCCCCATAAAAAAATTATTGCACAATAATGAAAGAACAATTATTCTACTCCATGCCACATAAAAATGGAGACACTAATTTTTTAAAAAAGTCTAAAATTAGAGACATGATCATGAACAAGAATGTAGCTCCAAACAATACGTTGTTATGTGACACATATTAATTTTCTCAACAAATTGTAAAAGAATCTACTCTACTTCTAAGAACTAATTATAGCATCAAAAACTAACAATGATGATCTTGACCACCATGGAATAATTAGCTAGAAATTTAAATATGTTCATAGACACCAACCTTTTGGATGATGGATTCACCACAATTTGATCCTTGCACAAATGTCTAATTGGAAAAGTGCTCCCTAGAATGTAGAAAGAACTAGAATGAGAATCAAGCAATGTAGCCATCAAAACAAAGCTAATTAAGCAACAAAATCAAAGAAGTGGATGTTTGTTATTAACCTTAAAGCAAAAAGATCGACACATTCTTCAAAATCCAAGTGCTATCTTCATGGTGAAGAGCAGCCGCAACAATGGAGGGAGGGGCCCAAACGCGCGCCTCTATTCTCGGGATGGAAGAGAGGAGGAAGGAGAGGACTATAGCCTTTTTTTGTTTTTGTGTCAGTAGGTTCTTATCACCGTCACTATTGGTTCTTGGCATTAATCGGCAGTGATATGTGGTCGTCAAGCCACTGCCGGTTAGAGACACAAACCGGCAGTGATAGTTGTCGTCACTGTCGGTTTGGTCACATCCCAAATCAATTTCTGGTTTTTAGAGACAAGAACCGGCAGTGAAGGATCAACACTACCGGTTCTCCTAATTCCGGCGGTGATGAGGCCGGTAGTGAAGTGCTATTATGTAGTTGTGTATGTTTGTGAACTCATACATTAGGTGAACCTTGTGATTTGTAATGTAATCCGTGACATTTGTTGTATGTCGAGAGACTCCTGTATTTGTTAGATTGTGGAATGTAACCTAAGTTGTACTAGTAAGACATTGTAATAAACTCGTATGGTGTACTATTTCATTTATGCTCTCTTATTGTAATAAACTCGCACATGTAGTAGTTAGGTGCTCGAGAGGCAAGACTGAAACGGCAGGAGGAAGAATTGAAGCTCGTCAGGCTCAGCTCCTCCGGGAAGAAGAACGACGTAAGAAGATGAAGACGCAGGAGGCGTAATGTTCCTCCAAAACAGCGAGGAAGGGGAAACTTCCCCGGTTCACCGAACGTTATTTGTCCTCCACCGATTTACATTACCTATGGCATTTTATCCTAGGGAAGGTGCTCTTTTAGGTTTGTCACTAGAAACTAAGCGCGGTGTTGCCACGCAGCTGCCAGTATTAGGCTACCTCACAATGTCAACGTGGAGTAGAAAGGACTGCATACGCATTAATGTAGGATATTCCAATCATAATGATATTCCAGAAATGGAGGCATTTCAAAGGAGGTAAAGAGATGGACATTCCACGATAATTAGAATCGCATTAAATCATGGTAGGATGAATCCTTAAAATTACTACACGAAGAAAAAAAATAAGTAGGATCGACGTATAAAATGTGGTCATGTACTTAAATATATTGTATCTTTTCTGAACTCCAAAGTGAGTTTATGGTCTTTGAGAAATATAAAAAGCAGGAAAGGTAGCAGAGAGACTTTACACTACTAGAGAACAGACTTTAGAACGATGTCCCAATTTAGCATTAGCCTCGGTATTTTTTGCCTCCGGGACTAAAGGACATTTAGTCCCGGTTGGTAATACCAACTGGGACTAAATGTTCCTTTACTCCCGGTTGGAGCCACCAACCGGGACTAAAAAGTCCTCCAACCTTTAGTCCCGGTTGGTAATACCAACCCAGACTAAAGGTAGACCCTTTAGTCCCGGTTGGTAACACCAACCCCGACTAAAGGTCCCCCGATGGGTTAGTTCAAAGGAAAGCATCCCATCCATTGTCGATGTGTTGTGTAGGTGGGGTGGTAAGCCAAGCTTGTGGCAAAGTGCATGAGGTCTTGGGTTCTAATCTTACGGGGCGCAGCGGTGGGAGGCATTATTTTTTTTAAACTGGGAGGATCTTTAGTCCCGGTTGTGGCAAACCGGGACTAAAGATCCCCACCTTTAATCCCGGAATGCTGGTCTCGGTTGGGAAACCGGGACAAAAGGCCTTTCCCAACCGGGACTAAAGCCACGTTGTGTAGTAGTGTTACAACCTATGCTATGGACACTTGACTGTACTCCTCTAGAGATGATGGTACGATTGGACAAAAATTCAATTTTAGTAAAGAGATCAGATGTCAACCTTTAGAAATCACGGTCACCACTTAACACTTGTTACAATCTCTTTGGCATAGGTAGTGAGCTAAAGGTGAGTTGCTTGCCTATGCTCTGCATCATTAGCCGCCCCCTTCGCTAACTCCACTGCTGCCCCTGGATGGAGTCATGGCATAGAGCACAAAACCGATTTATCATAATCAAACCAATCATCAGCTGTTGCCTGCTACAAGAAAGTAGGGCATGGAAAATTCATCAAACAGAAGAAATATCAAATGCCTAAATTAGGATATGGGGATGAAATTCACGTGCAAAAAAACTAAAATAGAATCAGAACTAAAATCCACGAAACATCAATTAATCAACACATTTTGCTCATGCCCTATTCCAGCTAACCTGCGTAGAATGCAAATCAATTAGCCAACGACCATGGCACAAAATAAAGAAAGAAGCTCTCACGCACGCACACAAGAAAGATCAAGCAAGGAAGATTCGAGTTTTTTTTTACAGGAGGTCTGTGACCCCTACTAGAATTCAGAGAAAATGGAAATGATTTCTTTCCCCACTCTTGAGGATCGCACACAATCTGAGGTGGCGTTGTTCCGTGGAGGAAGACACCCGGAGCATGATCTGGATATAACTTGTGAGCTAAGGGCAAGCCTCAAATTTTATAGTCCAATCAGCATAGGTTCACCACAAAGCCTCCACTAATCCTAGAAAATCCATTTCATAGCTTCTTCGCGTTGTAGTCGAAGCAGAGGCCGAGGCCGGTGAACCCCAGGTCCTCGTACTCCCACGCCCCCAGCCACTCACCGCATATAGAATAGAACTGACAAAGGACACATAATACAAGTTCTTTGTTCTAATTTATTATGCCTTAAGCCCAAGATCGCATAGGCAAAAATAATCATTCACGTGTGATCACACCGAGAAGCAATCAATTTTTAGATGCATTCTATAGTTCAATAAAATACAAGCTAGTGTCAGCTGACAGGAAAAGCAAGGTTCCATGACCTAAGCTAGAAGTTAATCCTGTTATCTGGGTTCTACACTTGCTAAACCAAACCACTCTGATAAAGTATGAGTCTATCAAAGATTGTGAGGAACCATGATAGTCATATGTACAGGACAGGTGGTCCTTTGTCAAACTATTCAACAGGACATAATGCAAAGATACTATTTAATGTCTACAAAAATTTAATATTTTTCGCAACATAAAGCAACTAAAGCATATAAATTATTATAATGCAAAGATGGTTGTGCATATGCATTTCTCCGGGTAAGGCCACATCACAACAGATCCAATAAAATTGGTGTTGCAACTTGTAGAGCCATAGGGAATTTTTTTTTGCATTTATCAAATTCTGCACATTATAATAAATAAAGAATTGTTTGGCTAGAGTAACATATGCAAACATATTTTCCACGGGTAGAGGATAAAGTTATGAATCTAACAAAATTAATTTCACATTATTTAGATCTACAATTATTTTCCTAGGATTTTCACAAGTTTCTGCATGGATTTGTACAAATGTGCAAGTTTAGCTTGTACTGTTCGAGAGGACGAAGGAGCAAACTTGCCTTAGATCCACATCAAAGAGCATTCAAAGTGGTGCGGCCTGCCTCGCAGCGCCACGCTGCTAGCCTCGCCTCCCGATCCGCCGACCCACCGCCGCGCTTTTGTCATCAGAAGGCCGCGCCTGGGACACCACGCTGGGGTCACTGTGGGAGGGCTCCGCCAGGCGCCACACTGCCGGGTGGTCCGCAATGCTGCTGCCATGCAAGCTCGCACTGCCCGAGCCAGGTCACACGGGGCCGCTTTGGGCCGCCACCCTCGCCGAACGCCATACCGCACTTGCCACCGTGTTGGGAGGAGAAGAGAGGTGTGGGAGTGAGCAAAGTATCGGCCGCGAATGTTCGCGTTGGCTCGGGTTGATGATAAAGCAGGTACGAGACCCGACCGATTCGCAATTGGATGAACCAGATCGCTTTGTCGCCTGATCCAACGGCTCTCGGCTTAGCGGGCGACGTGGCACGACAATTTACCCAGTTTTGGTGCACGAATCGTATATAGAGTGTTGGGCGCCTCGGATGCCATTGTACTGTTGCTTGTACTGTTATAACATTTCATCTTTATGCTTCGAGTACTGAGATTCCACTCTATTCCCATTATAGTACCGAAACAGTGGTTTCCACTGTTGACGTGAACACACACTAAAAAGCATACACTATGCTCCCTCCGTACCATTTTATTTGCACATCTGAGTGCAGGCACGAATATCAAGGAGACATGCAAAATTACAATAATACCCCTGAGAAGTTCAGTCTGATTCCCAATCTCCTAAGCTCTCACGCCCTCTGCAGGTTCCCAAACTCAACCTTTCAAAGGTTCCAGGCTGCGTCCCGTCGCTACCTCATCGTCCTCGCCCACGAACAGCCAAGAGCAAGCTGCCGCCTCATTCGAGCTCGCCCAACACACGACACTACAGCCGCGGCCGACCTCGGGCGCTCGCTGCCGCCACCTCAGCACCTCATGCTCCGGCCGCAACGGTGGTCAGGCCCCGTCACCGTCTTCCACGCCGACGGGGACCAGCTCGCGCCGCCTGCGCGCACCCGCTGTGTTGCGGTGGCTCCCGACGGGGACGAGCTTGTGCGTGGAGCACCAGCTGCGGCTCGGCTGCGCCGGCGTCCGTGTCCACGCCAAGCCCCTATTCTCGTGACCCTGTGGATGAGCTCGTGTTGCCCGTGGCGGCTAGGCCGGGGCTCCCACCGGCCGGAGCTGAGACTTGGATCCGTATCTCTGGAATTGAAGGGAAGGGAAGGACCGGGCTTCCTGTGCTTGGAGTGCAAGGGGACGGGAAGATGAACAGGTCTAGTGGCTATGCGATGAGTTCGTAGACTCCATGAGAACCATCTAGACGGAGGGATAAGATAAGGCTCGACGTCCGTTTTCCCTTTTTTTAATTGACAAATCAATAAACGAGTGGACAGGAAGACCCGCAAGATCTGTTTCTCGGTTTTTTTAATTCTGTTAGCTCCGGGCTCTGTCAAGACTGTGGGCCTGTACCTACATCTGTCCGCTGTGTGATCGATTAATATGTGAAAAAATTTGAATTCCAGATGTGCAATTAAATGGGGACGGAGGGAGGAGTGATTATACTTTACTCCCTCTGCCCCGTATTAGCGCGTGTTCAGTTGGATCCAAAATCCCAAAAAGTGCTACAGTACCTGTCACATCAAATGTTTACGGCCCATGTATGGAGTATTAAATGTAGATAAAAAAAAAACTAATTGCACAGTTTGGTGAGAAATTGCGAGACGAACGTTTTAAGACTAATTAGTCCATGTTTAAACACTAATTATCAAATAAAAACGAAGGTGCTACAAGAACTCCCAATTTCCAACTTTCAAACTAAACAAGAGCTTATTTGCACATCTAAAGTTGAGCGCGAAAACCAAGACAGCTGCTAAAATGACGTTTTTGCCCCCGTATGAAAGTGACTGTACAGAGGTAGAAGGCCGTCTCCGGATTAACAGGAAGCATCGTCTATTTTTTTAAATACAGCTGATGATGGAATGAGTGGTTGAGAAGACTCCTTACTCTGGGACGGGCTGCATGCGTCCGTCAGGTTCAAGGCTTCAGGCCTATGTGACCGATTAATGTTGGAAATTTTTTGAACACGAGACGAGCGATTAATCCGGGACGGATGGAGTAGACTGCAAGGACCCTGAGCGTGAAGCCTTTTTAGGCGGATGGGACTCCACCAGTGTCGGTCCTAGGATTTTAAGGGCCCTCTGGCAATCTCGTTGCAACGGCCCCTTTTGATCATGTATAAAATCTTATAATATATAGACGCTAATTTTACTTGTAAAACCAAAGCAAATTCAATAACATATTTTTAATTTAATATGCCTGATAATTATTAAGAAATAATGTAGATTAAGCAATATATTTGTAGATGTATGATAATTATCGAGGAACAATGTAGATTAAAAAAACAATATATTCGTTTTCTTTTTTCACTGATGACAAATGTTTCTTATGTAACATTCTAAAATTATAACACCTAAATTAGAAGAAAAATATGACTATATGGGTACAAAATACTAGAAGTTTGGAATACTATACAAATAATTACTTTGGATTAAAAATAAAAAGAAAAAAAAACCTTGAGCCTAAAGAACTGATCGGTGATCGTAATTCATAAGAAGCCAAAAATCAAGATGTCGTCGTCGTGGAGCCCTGCCTGGTCGCCGTCCTCGTGCGTCTTGTTCGTGTCTCCGGTACTTAGCTCTTCGCGGCGGCGTGACTCGCCAACTCTGCGTGTGTAAGGCGCACATCGCGAACTCACGATCAGAGTGTGCTGTGTGCAGCGTGACTCCTCGCCTCCTCTCTACCCGAGGGTCGTGAGGAAAGAAAACTAGGAAAAAAATACCGATGTTGTCGTTTTGACTGGCTGACCAGTTCTGTCTCCCTTCCCATTAGTTTGTTAATACCTAATGGACTATAGAACCTAAGGGTTTGTATACCTGAACTTGACCCTCTCCTTCGCTTAGGTCCTCGACCGTCGCACCTCGTGGCCTACCTCTAGGGCCGGCACCGGACTCCACACTTACACCTACGTCCCTGCACCTGCAAAGCCTATATGTACCATTTCTCAGGATGATTGAACACGACGGGCTACTGGGGAGCAGTGCATCTCCATCTCAGCACTCCTTATATTGAACCCCCTCTCCCGTATCGTTCCACGCCACCGAGCATGAGTAAGGTAGTGTTTGGTTGCTCCCTTCTAATTTTTAGTCGTTGTTTCATCGAATATTTGATATATGTATGGAATATTAAATATAGATTAATTACGAAACTAATTACATAGTTTACGACTAATTTGCGAGACGAATCTTTTAAGCCTAATTAGTCTATGATTTGACAACGTGATGCTACAGTAACATATGCTAATGACGGATTAATTAGATTTAAAAAATTTATCTCGTTGAGTACTGACGGATTATGTAATTTATTTTTTTATTAATATCCGAACATCCATACAACATCCTCCTATTACATCTCCTAGATTTTAGTCATCGGATCGCCTATTCCAACCATCACTTCGCCAGGTTCTTTTGGCCCAACGGAGTATGAGGCAACCTCGACGAGTTCCCTCTGGAGGACAGGGCTAAGTACGCCCCTCCAAACTCCGTTAGGCCTTATGACGACCGCCAGGATGCGTGACCAATGTGTCACCATGGCGTGGCTTGTGTCGTCCAGCTCTATGATGGCTACGGTGATGGAAGCTGCCATTTCTTTCGATGCCCATATGGGTTGGTGAGTCAAGTTATTACTTCATTACTCTTCCTAAGCTTCTCGTGCTACAAACTAACATCACGTTCAGTCCTATCTCGATGAAGGAAACTGCCGCTATGCCAAGTGGGTCGATCCACCACTTCCTGAGCCAACCCAAGAGTACATACACTACCTCAAGTGCAAGATCTTTGACCTGGAGCATAATTGCAAATCCTTGGGCGGTTGACATCGCAGGTGACTTGATTTGTACCGATCCATGGTGCAAGTGCCCTACCACCACAACAAGGATCACCCCCATCTCCGCCATCCTCTGGGGGTGCTGGCTACTATGGAGCTGGGCCGTCGTAGTCCTCGCAGAGCCAGTTCTACTAGGAAGTAGACATGGCTGTTTCCCCGACTATTTCAATTACGTAAGGCATGCTAGGTTTAGCAACGGCACTGGTTTACGATAGCATCCGTGCCGCACATGCCACTGCAATCTATAATTAATTGGTCACCCTAGAGTCGTTGTTGTTCGATCGTATGTTGTGCACGAATTTCGTTTGTATCTGGTGTAATCTCGCTGGAAACAGCTATGTATCTAATGGCCAGGAGTTAAATCATTTTCAATTATTTTTTTCAATCACTCTACCTCTCTCAAATTACGAAGTTACATATTGTAATAAAACTATATATTTCACTTTTAAAAATATCATACATAATTACACGAAAAATAACTAATCAAAATTAAAATAGAGTTATAGCCGTTTCAACCGGCTATAGCATCCACCACCCAGCTAAACTAGGCTGTTGCAGCCTGTCGCCGTTTGAAACGGCGGTACCCCAGCTACTGCCGTACGAAAAGGCTGTGCAGCAGTCCGGCCCTCCTACCGCCGTTTCAACTGGCAGTAGCGGAGTTACCGCCATTTCAAGCGGCGGCATAAGTCCATTTCTGCAATTTTTTCGGTCTACTATTTATTTCTGTAAAATCGTAAAAAATATAAAAATAAAAAAATCCAGTTTGTAAGGTGATCTACACGAACAGGTTGAGAAGCGGCAAGGAGGCCGAACTGGGCCTGTCTTGTCGCATGATGATCTGTGGAAGGCCCAGGTAGCCAAAGTCATCCTCCGTAGTAGTAGGCCCGCGGTGCCTCCGCATGTGGCCGCCAAGGGCCTGGCCAGTCGAGAAGCCCAGCCCACAGGTGCCGCACGCGTGGACGGCCACCTCCTTTGGCCGGAGCTTCGTCGCCGGCGGCCGCCTGAGGTGGCTGGTCCGGTGGCCGCCGAGCGCCTGGAACGTCATGAACTTCCGTCCGCACGTCCGGCACTCGAAAGCGTCGCGCCCTCGGCGGCGACGACGGCGCTTATTAAGTGGCAGCACCGCCGTGCCTGCAGCTTCCTCGCTGCTGGTGCTGCTGCCGGATGATGAGCCGCACGACAGAGAGAGCAGAACGTCGCATGCCGCTCGCTGGTGGTGGTCTTCTTCTTCAACGCCATCTTCTTCTTCTTCTCCGAGAGGGTAGCTGTTGTTGTCATCTCCCATGGCGATGGCGTCATCTCTGCCACGCTTCATTACGGAGGTTCTTAGAATCGTGCTAGCTCCCTTGCTAAAATTCTTGAGGTGTAATTTTGCAGGCATGGGAATTGAAGATACATAGGTGCTGCATACTTGTATATATAGCCAACCAGCAGCTGAATGTTGAGTGCGAATATAATGGGACATGGAAATGATCGAGAATATATATGTTCCGTCGTTTTAGACTTGACGCACACGCGGTGATGTCCATGACTCCACACAAGTCTCCTACTAGTAAGTTTCATACCAGCGGCAAGACAAGAGCTAGGCAACGTCGCTCTTTGTCGGTTTGGAATAGTTCCTCTTTTGGGCCCTGCTTAACAAGTCAAGCTATTTCATTACACTACCTGACAAGTAAGTAATCACCTGCTTTAGTAGTGCCAATTGGGAGCTTAGTGACCAAGTAATATTCTTCTCTATCGAGATAGTAGAAAGAACAACTAATTAACTTACTGATAAAGTTGCATGAAGTGCGTGCTACGTACTGGAATAATGTGCAATAGTGCCGGTAGCTTTCTTGTGTATATCCTCCCCTCCTTTGTTACCTATAAAATGACATGAACAGGCTGGTGGGGTGCCTAGCTAGTACACGTCTTTGACTTCATGACCAAGTTATTTAGGACTTGGAACGAACTATGACCACAGTAGTGTCACCACCAACACGGCTATATATTCATCCATATGACGTTAATTTTAGATATATATATTATAAGATGATGAAATTATTGTTGATTTATGTGCACATATACTTATTAAATGTTAATCACCAGCATCACGGCTATTATTGTTGATTGATGTGTATGTGGATATATAGTTAATTAATGTCAATCACTAGCTAGTATGAAAGGAATATATGGGCAAACTAACTAACTAAGCAAGACATATATATCTCAGAAACAAGCTAAGCTAAGATATATAAGAGAATAATTAACTTATATATAGCTCCTTAGCATGTATGTCGCTAGTAATATATAAAATTAGGACTTGCTAGTCGTGGTCTTGGGGAACAAATAAAGTTAGCTTATGTCCTTACGCATATCC